TCTCCTACCTTACAAGGAGAGTGAAAATGGGACGTGAGCTTGGGTTGTCATATCTAGCCTTCATTAGCTTGAGGTATATCCCCTCTCCACCCACTTGGTTGAGTTTTTATCATAAGCAGAAGTTGAATTTTGTCAAATGCTTTTTCTGCATCCATTAAGGTGATCATATGACTTTTATCTTTCATGTTGTTAATGTGGTCATCACACGGATTGATTTGCAGATACTGAATCTTCCATGCATCCCTGAAACAAAACTTGATCCTTTTCATGTATTGTTGAATTTGGTTTGCTAATATTTTGTTGAAGATTTTCACATCTATGTTCATCAGAGACATCTGTCTCTAATTTTTTTTGTTTGTAGTGTCTTTGGTTTTGGTATTAGGGTAATGCTGGCCTCAAGAATGAATTTTGAAGTTTTCCTTCCTTTTCCATTTTTTGGAAGAGATTGCAAAGGACAGGTATTCACTCTTCTTTAAATGCTTAGTAGAATTCACCTGTGCCATCTGGTCCTGGACTTACCTGTCAGGAGTTTGGTCACCAATTCAATTTCGTTACTAGTAATCAGTCTGTTCAGATTTTCTATTTCTTCCTGATTCAGTCTTAGAAGATTACATGTTTCTAGGAATTTATCCATTTCTTCTAGGTGTCCAATTTGTCAAAATATAATTTTTCATAACAATCTCTTATAATCTTCTGGATTTCTGTGATGTCAGCTTTAAATTCTCTCATTTATGATTTTATTTATTTGAGTCTTTTTCTTGATGAGTTTGACTAAAGGTTTGTCAATTTTGTTTATCTTATCAAAGAACCAGATCTTAGTTTATTGATCTTTTCTATTGTCTTTCTGGTCTCTAATTCATTTATTTTCACTCTGATCTTTATTACTTCCTTCCTTATACTAACTTTGGGCTTTTTTTAATAGTTTTTTGTTTGTTTGTTTGTTTGTTTGGTGTACGTTTAGATTATTTGAGACTTTTCTTGTTTCTTGAGGTAGGAACTTCCCACGTAGAACTGCGGGAATAGGGGCGCCTGGGTGGCTCAGTGGGTTAAAGCCTCTGCCTTTGGCTCAGGTCATGATCTCAGAGTCCTGAGATCGAGCCCCGCATCGGGCTCTCTGCTCAGTGGGGAGCCTACTTCCTCCCTCTCCCTCTGCCTGCCTCTCTGCCTACTTGTGATCTCTGTCTGTCAGACATTTCTCATTAGACCAGTTTAGTGATTATGAACTCTTAATTTTCCTTTGTCTGGGAAACTCTCTCTCTCCTTTAGTTCTGAATGATAACCTTGCTGGATAGAGTATTCTTGTTGTAGGGTTTTTTTTCCCTTTCAGCACTCTGACTCTGTCATGTTACTCCCTTCTGGCCTGCAAAGTTTCTGCAGAAACATCCCTTGTATGTAGCCAGTAGTTTTACTCTTGCTACTTTTTTTTTTAAGATTTTTTACTTATTTATTTGACAGACAGAGATCACAAGTAGGCAGAGAGGCAGGCAGAGAGAGAGGGGGAAGCAGGCTCCCTGCTGAGCAGAGAGCCCGATGCGGGGCTCGATCCCAGGATCCTGAGATCATGACCTGAGCCGAAGGCAGAGGCTTAAACCACTGAGCCACCCAGGCGCCCCTCTCTTGCTACTTTTAAGATTCTCTCTTTAATGATGTCATTTTAATTATCACATGTCATGGTGTGCACCTCTTTGGGCCTATCTTGTCTGGGGCTCCCTGTGCTTTCTGGACCTGGATCTCTTTCCTTCCCAATTAGGGAAGTTTTCAGTGCTATTTCTTCAGATAGGTTTTCTGTCCGTTTCTCTAGCTCCTCTCCCTCTAAGACCCTGTGATGTGAATTTTAAGTTGTTCCAGAGGTCCCTTAACCAGTCTTATCTTTGTTTTTGTTTGTTTGTTTAAAATTATTTTTATTAACATATAATGTATTATTTGCCCCAGGGGTACAAGTCTGTGAACCATCAGGCTTACACATTTCACAGCACTCACCCTAGCACATACCCTCCCCAATGTCCATCACCCAGCCACCCTATCCCAACCCTCTCCAGCAACCCTGTTTGCTTTGTGAGATTAAGAATCTTTTATGGTTTGTCTCCCTCACGATCCCATCTTGTTTCATTTTTTCCTTCCCTACCCTCCACAACCCCCCACCCTGCCTCTCAAATTCCTCGTATCAGAGAGATCATACGACGGTTGTCTTTCTCTGACTTATTTCGCTCGGCATAATACCCTCTAGTTCCATCCACATCGTTGCAAATGGCAAGATTTCATTTCTTTTGATGGCTGCATAATATTCCATTGTGTATATGGATCACATATTTTTTTTTATTTTTTTTAATCTTTTTATCTTTGTTATCTTTTATTTTTTATCTATCTTTATTTGACCAGTCTCATCTTTCAGTTCTTTTTTCTTGTTGTTTCTCAGCATGGGTACTTTCCATGTCTGTCTTCCAGACCAGTGAACCATTCTGCATCCTCTAATCTCGTTCATTTTCTGTGATGTAATTTTCATTATAATTTTCATATTCATTATATGATGTAATTTTCTATCTCATTATTGAAGTTCTCAGAGCTTATCCACTCTTCTTTAAAGTCTAGTGAGTATTTTTATGACCATTACTTTGAATTCTTTATCAGGTAGGTTCTTTATCGCCATTTCTTTAGGTCTTTTTCTAAGGTTTTGTCTGATTCTGTGTTTATTTCTATGTGTTAGGGTCCACCAGCTACATCTTCTGGTTTTGAAAGTAGTAGCCTCACATAAAATGCATCCTTTAGGGCCACAGTCCCCTCTGGTCACCAGAACCATGTGCTTCAAGGCTGTCCCCCATGTGGCCCGCGTACCCCCTCCTGTTTCGATGGGGCCCTGACTGCTGGGAGTCTGCTGGTAGGTGGAGCTGAGCCCCCTCCTTGGGGCAAGAGTCCCTCTGGAGGGCTGTCAGTTCCAGCTAGGGACTCCCCCTGGGGTGTGGCAGGTGGGGCTGCTTGGTGGGGCGGGGGTCCTGCCAGGGCAGGGGAGACAGTACCAGCAGGTTAGATGGAGCGTGCTGGAAGTGGTGCCTGGCAAGCTAGGTGGAAGGAGGGCAAGAACAGTGGTGCCCATCAGCACTTCCGTTCCCAGAGAAAGCGCCTGCGGATTCCTGCCCCTCCGGTACACGCCCTAACACTCGTCCGTGAAGCTTCTTCACGTGAGCTCCAGGCACTTTTCAAACTGCCATCTCTGCGCTGGTGCCGAGTGACCTAGGGCTCAAACCTTTCAGGGCAGTGGCTGGCATCCTCTAGCCCTTGCTCTCCTGGAATGAGGCCCCACTTGTTTTCAAAGCTCCCAGGGTTAAGCCTCGCTGGTTTTCAGAGCTGGGCATTATGGGGGCTTCCTTCCTAGTGCAGGTCCCTAGTGCCGGGGGTACCCCTGGGGCTTGATGCCCTCAGTCCTCAGAGACGAGCTCTTCCCCTGTGCTTTCCCTCACACTGGTGGGTCATGTGCCAGGAATCGATTTCCTGCTCTGCCCTTCTTGGTGTGTCTTCTTCCTTCTGTCCTTGGCTATGGAAGAGCCCTTCTGCCAGCCTCCAGTGGTTCTCAGGGTGAGTCGCTCTCTGTGTGGTGGATGCCTTGGTGTGTCCCTGGGAGGAGGTGAGCTCAGGGTCCTCCTACTCTACGTCTTACCCCATTGTCCCAGGGCATTTGTGTTAGAATCTGTCTAGTAGATCTGACTCAGGTCTTTTTCAGGGACTGACTCTGTTGAATTCTCTTTTTCCTTTCAGTGGGCCAGACTCTCCTGTCGCCTTGTGTGTCTTGTGATTTTTTGGCTGACTGACCACTGGACGTTCAAGTCTTATAATGTGGTGACTCTGGAAATCGGATTCTCCCCCTTCCCCAGGGTTTGCTCTTTTGCTGTCGAAGTTCTTTGGATTGTCGGCGGGCTGTCTCTGTGCCGAGAACCAGCCTGAGGCGTAAGCTGCTGTCTCCTCGGGTCTTGTCTGAGCCTTTCCGTGGGCACGCACAGTCCCTTCCTAATTCCCACCCATGCAGCTGTTTCTGAACGTCCTAATGTGTGGCTCCCAAAAGGGGGCCAAGGGGGCCCTTGCCCTTTCAATGCCCTTGGTGTCGCTAGAGCTGGAGCTGGAGGGGCGGCAGCGATGGCCGCCAGGCTCGGTGTCGGCACCTGTGTGATGGGAAGCCACCGTCAGTGTCAGAGCGTAGACCCTGCTACTGGGAGGACAGGTCCTTGCCCACCTGGCGTCTGCAGGCTGTTCCAGAAACACGTGCACAGCTGCCTGCGGCGTGGCTGGGTGGCTGCGACCGTGCTGAGAGCTCGGAGAGACCCAAACTGACGACTTCCCCTGGACAGTGGCAGGCTTCGGCAGACCCCACGGTCCCCAAAGAGTCCCATCAGATGGTCTGCCCGTGCAGCCGTTGCCCAGGTGGGGAGAGATTCCTGGTGCTCCCTGCTCTGCCCTCTTCCCAGCATCCAATCAGGCACCTTTAAACTTTCCATCTATTGTCAGTTCTCTTGACTGCAGTTTCTTATTTCTGCCTCTTCACCTTTCGGTCATTTTGTTGGTTTCCTGTGGGTGGTTTTGGAGAGTTCCAGAGAGCTAACTGTAGGGAGGCAATGGGACTTGAACCCTTGGGGCCAGCTCAACAGATGCCAGGAATATTTGTGGACTCCGTGAAACAACTCAAAATATGACCCCAGGGTACCAGCCTGGAGGTTGAGGCTTCCCCAAAAAGTGAGGTTTGGTGATACAAACTGGCACCCCGTAGGCAGGGGGTGAGCGCCGCAGGGAGTTAGCGGACAGACGGGACGGGATTGTGGCGCGCTCCGCTCAGCGCTCCGCGGGGCCACAGGGCCGGTGCGGGAGCCGCCGCCGGGTCAGCAGTGGAGAGGCCGGCCCTGCCGGGCACGGGCGGCCCCTGCGTGCAGGCGTCATGGTGCCCTGGGGGCTTCCCCACCCCTTTGGCCTTCCCCAGCCCTGTGGCCCCGTCGTGACCACCCCGTATGCCATTGCAGAGGAGGCCGAGCACGGCAGCTTCGGGGCCGGCTCGCTGTCCCGCCGGAGGAAGGCGTTGGCGCTGCGCGAGGACGGCCCCCGCCGGCGCGCGCACCTGCACATCGGCCTGCCGCACGACTTCCGCCCCGTGTCGTCCATCATCGACGTGGACATCCTGCCCGAGACGCACCGCCGCGTGAGGCTGTACCGGCACGGCTGCCAGAAGCCGCTGGGCTTCTACATCCGCGACGGCACGAGCGTGCGCGTCGCCCCACAGGGGCTGGAGAAGGTGCCGGGCATCTTCATCTCGCGCATGGTGCCGGGCGGCCTGGCCGAGAGCACGGGGCTGCTGGCCGTGGACGACGAGGTCCTGGAGGTGAACGGCATCGAGGTGGCCGGGAAGACGCTGGACCAGGTCACGGACATGATGATCGCCAACAGCCACAACCTCATCGTCACGGTCAAGCCGGCCAACCAGCGCAACAACGTGGTGCGCGGCAGCCGCGCGTCGGGCAGCTCGGGCCGCTCGTCGGACAGCGCGGCCAGCCGCCACAGCCTGCCCGCCGCACCTGCGCTGCTGCCCCTGCAGCCGGACGACGCCGACAGCGACGACGAGCCCGACGTGGTGCTCGAGGGCGTCCTGGAGCCGCCGCGGCTGGCGCCCCGGCCCCCGGTCAACGGCGCGGGCCCGGCGTCTGCGCGGGACGGTCCCGCGCACCGGCTGCTCAGCTCCCTGCGCGCCGACCCGCGCCACAGCCTGGCGCTGCCGCTGCCCCCGGGCGCCGTGGAGGAGCACGGCCCGGCCGTGACGCTGTAGGCCCCGGACGAGCTCGGCGCGCGGCCGCTGTGCTCTGGGGGCGGGATCCGGATCCTCTCCCGCAGCCCGGCGCGGCCCGAACCCCTGTGGAGAACGGACAAAGGCTGTTTTTCTGCGGTTTCTCCGAAGACCACGGGAGGCTCACGCAAGCCCCGTGTCCAGCCGGGGGCGGGGCGCGGCCCCCCCCCCCCCACCCCCGGCAGCGCGCAGGAGGGATTTCAGCGGAAGTTGTCGAGCGACTTTCATAAATGAAGCTTTAAAATAACCTTTTTTAAAGAAGAGTAAATCCGCGGTTTCCATGTGACTCTGCAGACACAGCCCGGAGGTCAGCCCTGGGGGCCCGGCGGCAGCGCAGGGGGGAGGCGAGCAGGCGGAGGCCGGTCTCACCCCCGGACGCACGAGGCCCGGCCGAGGCGAGGGTCCCCCCACGCGCACTTCGTCTCCGAACCGGGGTGCAGAGCGCCCCAGCGTCCCCGGGGCAGGCCACCGGCCCGGAGCAGGCCAGTGCATGCGGGCGGTCGCAGGCGGCCGGTGTCCAGCCTCGGGCCGAGCCAGCACCGCGGGACAAAACGCTCGTATGGCCTTTCCCTGCGCCCCGACGGAGTCCGAGGCCGGTTGTGAGGTGTTGGCCGCGGGCAGGACAGACGCGCCCCCACGCGCCTCCAGCGGGCCCGGGAAGCTCGCGGTTGTCTGGATGTACAGTTTCTGTTGTCTCGGTTTTTAAATAACAAGTCGCTTGGAACCTGATTTTTACGCAGATTAAATTCATTGTCGCTTCGCTTTGATCTTCAACAATATTTATATATTTAGTCGTTGTAAAGGTTTCCTCATTTGATCCAATTTTATATGAACTCTGTTTTGTTCGAGTCCGATGTCCAGGAAGAAACAGGACCCCTTCACTCGGAGAACTAGGCTCTGGCCCAGTAAAGCTTTCCTACAAATAACGTGTTTTTCTAGGAGCCTCCGGGCGGCGAGCGCAGCGGCTCCTCCTGTGGTCCGGCACCACCTGCTGCTCAGTGGCGAAACTGTCCTGCCTCGGGACGCTCAGGCCCCCAACTGGAAAACAGAATCTCACCATCTTCACTTTTGCTGAATCCATTAAGTGTAAAAGCCAATTATTTTTCTTTTGGAAACTATTTATTGGGCAGAAATACTTTTTATTGAGTAGTTGTGGTCTGCCACGCCTATGTTTGATTTTGTTATTTGTGCGCTTTTGTTCCTAAACACAGGGAAGACCAAAGGTGCGCCCTCCCTTTGAGGTCTGGGGCAAGAGCTCAGATACACCCAGATTTATGGGCGCCAGTGAACATATGAGCATCTTTTCTGGCACCCAAGCAGTCAGAAGTGTTTTTGTGGTTTTGGTGGTTTTTTGTTTTTTTTGTTTTTTTTTTACTACAATAAGTATTATAGAACCAAAAACCTAATGCTAGTTACTATCACAATGAAATGTTCTAAGTTATTGCTGGTTATGGAATATCTTGTTGAGTAATGGGATCTGTTACCAAGAAGGAAAGTTACGTTTCTTACCATGTTTGAGCTAAGCAAATGTGAATAATTTTTTAAAGAAAAAAAAAAAGAAGCCTCCCCTGAGACTTGTATTCTGTTGTTCATAATTTTAGGAGTTCTGAATTTCTTGGAACAGCTGCTTGAGTGTATTTTTGTACCCATATCTTCACTTCTGCCTTCTTCTTAAATAAAAAAAACTATGATGTATTACACATTAAAGTTTTCTTGGTTTTATATATCAAAGAATAAAAACTTTTTCGTTACATTTAATATTTTTCACTTGTGTTCTAAGTACTGGAGAGCTTATTAGTGTTAGTGATGAGGAGAAACTTGCCCCTCAGAATGGAATTCCTCTAATATTTACCAAGTGCCTGTCGTGTGCCATATTTTTTTCACTTAATCATCACATGTGCTCCATGAGCCAATTAGCATTACAGATGAGAAAATGAGCTCAAACTCAAACAGGTAGTAGGTCATTCCAAATAACTAAATTATAATTGTATTTGATGGGAGATGGATGTGTCTTAGGTCTAGAAACTTCTTAAGTCCTTTTGAAAAATGTTTCTAAATATTTATTATCAGCTCGTCCTAAATACACCCAGGTTTGCAAAATTGCCATTCAAGCTTTTTCGCTCTGACATCAGTAAACATACAATGCACGTAGCATCATGATGTGCTCATTCAATCATCAGATGCTATGGTGATAGCAGCGAGCACCAAGAATTCCGGGAAGAAATGTGCTTTCTACAGGCATTCATCCAGTTAACCCTTTCAGTGCCTTCTCCAGTTTACAGTTGGGGAACCTCCAAAAGCTGGCCCATCCCCCTGCACATTCCGAGGAGATGGAGCTGCCGGTGCTGGGGGAGGGGATGCAGGGCTTGCCTGTGTGTGAGGCACACAGCCCTGGGTGCATGGAGGGAGTGCAGGTCTCCCCGACCCAGTAGTCCACATGGCCAGCCCTGGGGCATATGGTGCTGTCCAGAGGAGCCCCCTGGAAGCAGGTGATGAAGCTGTCCAGGAATCAGAAGTTAGGTGGCAACTTGCAGAATGACACGAAGTGATCACACGGGGGGTGGGTCTCATGGCAAGCTGCAAAGGTACCTGGAAAGTACTGATTGTTTCAAAATCCAGTTGAGCTAAAGTCTGAGACAAGTCTTCCAAAAGAAGGCCGTTACGTTATTTTCATGTCCCCATCAAATGTTTTTTGAAAGCTCTGATGGACCTCCGGGGTCCTTATTTCCAAGATGACCAAGAAAAGGAGGCATCGCTGTCGTGCTCGAGAGGGCCAGGGCCGCATACGGTCTCCCTGCAGCACCAGCTGCACCCAAGGACGCGGGAGGAAGTTGGCTGCCGTCGGGAGCGCTTCTGGGGCGAGCAGGTGCTCCCACCCCGTGAGCCCACACTGCTGCGGGAGCCTGAACCACGGTGAAGTGGTCAGCCCCGCCCCTCGGAGCACTGAAGGACCCAACACCCCGCACCAAATTTCCACCTGCAGATGCTGCCGCAGCACCTCCACCAAAGCCCACACAAGGAGCGAGGTCCTCAGGGACTGAAGGAAAAGTGTTCTCTGGAAACAGGTGAAATGGAGATTGGACTTCAAAAAAATATAAATGAATATAAGCTCTGATGCAAGTATGAACCAAACAAGCACCAGGACTTTGCTCCAGTGTGTTCTATGCTGGCATGGAGACCATTATGTGACACCAGGTGACCTGCGTGTGTCCTTCCCACTGTGCAGAAACATTTCCTCTTCCCCACCATGCTCTACCCTCCGTCTCGCCCCTAATGTCTGATTCCCCGGTGTCCTAAGGAGTCCTCATTCCAGAAGACGCCCTAAGCCAATATACAAATTCTTTTTCCCTTTTTCCATCTCATCTCTCCTCACCTTGTTTTCTTCTCCTTTATCTTCATAAAAAGAGAACTTTCGGGGACTGAGAACTTTTCGTTTCTGAACCACATTCCCAAAGAGTGGAATAAAGTCTAATTATGTTAATAAAAAGCAAACAATTGATTCAACATTGGTCTCTCCAGCCCAGGAAATGACTGCCATCTTCTAAATTCCTTTCCCCAGGGAGATTTGAAAGTGAACACATTATTTCTTGACCCAAACCCTCTTAGCCTCAAGCAATCATCCAGGGCAGTAAGGGACCCCTCATGGCTCTCATGGCTGAGCCAAATCCAGTCACTCACTCCTATGTGGCTGAGACAAACACAAGGCTTTCTGACTCAAAGTTCACATCCCTGCACTGCACAGAACTGACAGGGTACCCTAGAAAAAGTCTAACCGACACCCGATTTATCCAGGGCCTCTAGGTGTTCGGCGGGAGCCTGGGGACACCATGAGAAATCAGAGCCACATACAGAGCTCACATCAAGTATCTTCATGTACCAAACCAGAATCTCCACCCTCAGAGCCTGTTTGTGGCCCCTCGTCTTCCCGGGTGCCCGTCCCAGCTACCCACCGAGTGCTCCAGAAACACAACTCACAAACACACAATTCCTGAAGAGAGACAGCTGTGTAGACATCCACATGCGTCGGCACTGAAACAGTGTTAGGCAGTGTGGACGCACAGAGCACACAATGTGGGCCGGAACCAGCTGTCTGGGAATGGGGCCACAGACTTTTCCTTTCTGACTCTTTGAGGTTTTCAGAAAAATGCAAGCAATCCATTCTGAAGTCAGAAAAAATACAAAAAGAAAAAAGAATGAAAAAAGTGAAGACAGCTTAAGGGACTTAAAGGATAACATCAATGGAATAACAGTCACATGATAGGGCTCCCAGAAGGAGGAGAGAGAGATTATGGGGCAGAAAATTATTTGAAGGAATAGTGGCTGAAAACTCTCCTAAACTGGGGAGGGAAACACATCCAGGTCCGGAGCCTAGAGAACTCCAAATAAGACAAACACAAAGAGACCAACACTGAGATACTGAGACACATTATAATTAAAATGTCAAAAGTTAAAGACAGAATCGTTAAAGCAGCAAGAGAAAACTTGTTATATACACGGGAACCTCCATAAGACTATCAGCAGATTCGCAGTAAAAACTTTGCCGGTCAAAGGGGGGTGACACAACATATTGAAAATACTGAAAGAAAAAACTCCCAACCAAGATTATGCTACCCAGCAAAATTATCATTCAGAATTGAAGATAAGACAAAGAGCTTTCCAGACAGCAAAAAAACTAAAGGTGTTCATCACCACTAAACCATCCCTACATGAAATGTTAAAGGGACTATTTTAAGCTTAAAAGAAAGGGTGCTCATTAACAAGAAAATATATGGAAGTATAAAACTGACTGTAAAGGTAAATATACAGTAATGGTAGCTAATCCCTTATAGCTGGTATGAAGGTTAGAAGACAAAAGTAGTGGGATGCCTGTGTGGCTCAATTAGTTAAGCATCTGCCTTTGGCTCAAGTCATGATCCCGGGGTCCTGGGATCAAGCCCCACATCAGGGAGCCAGCTTTTCCCTCTCCCACCTTGCTCTCATGCTCTCTCTCGCTCCCTCTCTCTCTCTCTCTCTCTCTCAAATAAATAAAATCTTTTCAAAGAAGACAAAAGTAGTAAAAATTACTATAACTACAGTAATTAAAGAGTACACAAGATAAAAAGATGTAAAATGTGACATCAAAAACATAAAATGTGGAAAAGATTCATGATCATCTTAATGGAATGAAGTTAAAAAATTAAGTTTTAAAAGTTTTTAAAAAACATAAAATGTGGTAGGGACTAAATATGTACAGCTTTAGAACATGTATAAACAAATTATTTTCAACTTAAATTGTTATAAATACAGGTTGCTGTATGTAAGCTTCATGGTAACCACAAAGCAAAGACCTGTAATAGATAAAGAAAAGAGAAAGAGAAAGGAATCTAAACATACCACTACAGAAAAAAATCATCAAACCACAAAGAGAGAAAGAGAAGAAACAGAGGAACAACAAAACAGCCAGAAAACAATTAACAAAATGGCTGTAAGTACATACCTATAGATAAATACTTTCACTGTAAAGGGACTAAATTCTCCAATCAAAAGATATAGAGTGGCTGAATTCAAAAAAATTTCACTTGACAGAAATGTGGGTCCAAGTGCAACACAAGTCATGCACAAGAATGTTTATAGCAGCCATTGCTAATGGTCCAAAACCAAAAGCACAAAATGCTCATCAACAGTAGAATGGACAAATAAATATATTTTACATATCTATGATTCTATATTTTATATATATTTATATGTAAATGTATAAGAATAATATATTCTTATGATGGGAATTTTTACAGGAGTGAAAACAAACCACAGCTATGTACTGCAATGAATCTCCAACCATAATGTTGAACAAAAAGAGCTAAACACAAGGAAACATACTGAATTATTCCATTTATACGAGGGTCAGCAGCACTCATTGATGGTGTTGGGAGGCAGAACAGTAAAATCACTGAGGAGAAGGGTGGGGAGAGTGTCTGGGAGGCAGCATGAGGACTCCTGGGGGCCTGCTCATGTTCTCTTTCTTGTTCTTGGTGTATTCATTTTGTAAAGAATCCACTGCACTGTGCATTTGTGATTTATGTACTTTTCTGTATTTGAGTTCTACTTCAATAAACAGATTAAAAGTAATTTTAATGGTTAAAAAAACCAAGATCTATTCATACACGACCTATAAGAGACTCACATCAGATGTAAGGACACACACAGACTGAAAATGAAGGGGTGGAGTAATGCAAATGGAAACCAAAAGAAAGCTTGGGTAACTATACCTATATCAGAAAAAATAGACTTTACGGGTACCTGGGTGGCTCAGTCAGTTAAGCTTCTGCCTTTGTCTCAGGTCATGAACCAGGGGTCCTGGGATCCAGCCCTGTCAGGCTCCCTGTTCAGCGAGAAGTCTGTTTTCTCCCTCTCCCCCTGCCCTGTCCCCTCCCGCTTGTGCTCTCTCTCAAATAAGTAAATAAATATTTTTTAAAAATAAAAAATGGACTTTAAAGCACACTAATAAGAGACAAAGAAGAGCACTACATAATGATAAAGGGGTCAATCTAATAAAAGATTATGTTTGTAAATATTTATGCACCCAACATAAAGGCTCCTAAATATATAACACAAATATTAACAGACTTAAAGGCAGAAATAGACAGTAATGCAAGAATAGTGGAGATATTTAATACCAAACTTTAATCAATGAATAGATCATCCAGACAGAAAATCAAATAAGGAAACATCAGTCTTAGATG